TTCAAGTACGGCAACGCTTGCTAAAATTTGGCGTCGCTTTGATTGAGTCTCTCGTCTCGCTTGCACATGCATGCCTTTGCGACGTGTTTCTTCTCACTTTAGTCGGCGGTCGTAACGACAAGCGAGTACTTACGGTTTCCGCCTGTATTTCGATCTAGTGAAGCCAAATTTCAGAGTAAATTTGATCCCCATATTGCCTCTGGATATTTGCACTTACACATGGAGAATCTGAAGTGGCAGAAAACTCTCACGGAAAGACAGAGCGGAGGACGTCGACCGATAAATTATTAGAACACCTAACAAATATAGACATAATTCAGGCAGCTGAGTCTTAGGAAGCAGGCAGCAGGCAGATCTAATCTTCTCTTAAAAGTCCAGACTACTAAGCAAACTTCGTAGAGTTTATTGGTCAGATTACTCCCCTATTGATTTAATGAAAAGGAGGACACCAGTTAGAATGAAGGAGAAAAAATTTTGGACATTGTAGAGGGACGCTCACCGATCGTTCTACGATTCGCGTATATGACGAGTCAGCTCCACGACGGAATGGTGGCGTGGACCGTTGACAATGGAACAGTCCAAGAAGCATTAGCAGTAGCCAATGGAGTAAAGCAGGCCTACGCGCTCGATCCCTCCCTTCAGTCCCGTGTTCTCTGGCATGCAGACAGACACCTGCCACGATCCATCTCCGAGACCCTCATGGTAAGCAACGCCGACAGACATTCGGCTGATCACCCGGCTGGCTCCCACTGTTTATACTGGTTTGAACGGTTAGCATGCCATTTAATGTCTGGATGTCTCTTACTAGAAAATGAATTGCTAACAGCCACTTAAAATAACTAACTCTCCGCAACACGCCTGTACAGACCACCAAAATAAAAATACGTTTAAGATGCCGGTGAATGATAGAGAGTCCAGCCGTAAATATCACCGTTAAGACAACGGAGTCAATGTTTAAAACAAACAAACTTTGGACAGTATTTAGACATTTTATTTCTACTTTGGCGGATAATGGTGCGAACCGACAAGAACTGCTAGAGGCCTGCATGTCTGGCATCAGCTCCATCAACGGGCATGTTG